GTGTGGTTAGATATGCCAGTTCACTATAAACAGAGCTCTGATACCAACCTGTCACACCCCCGAACCAGACGGCGGAAACGTCCAAGGACTCGCGTGACTTAAATTGAAATATCATCACAATGAATATACATGAAGCATAACATAAGCATCACCATGCATTAATTCATTACAAATGACCTTGTTCACATCAAGTACATTGTCTTAATATTACATATCCATAGCATAACTTGTTTGAGAGTCACAAAACATAACATCCTAACACACTTGGTAATTTTCTTCAGCTTATCTGTTACCTGAGAATACAAGTTATTTTGAAAACGGTCAACATATATAATGTTGGTGAGTTCATAAGCAGGTTTGATATGAAAATGTTTTGTGTAGTTTGTAAAACCCAAAAAATCCGATATTTTCTGAAACGACAATTGTTTACGAAATAGGTGTGATGATCCATAAGTATATGCGTGAATGATTTCAAAACGTGTAAAAGTAGTATGAATTCTTGCATTATAGTTATCGAAAGTGAAAGCGAATAATGTTGTTCCCTTGGAAAACCGATGTTTTCCGATATAAATAATATGATCGTTTTGTATTATTGTATCGTCATAACGAATAAACATGATTTCCCATGATTACTTAGATGGTAATTGGATCTCTATGTGAGTCGTTATAACCATGCATAATAATGACTATTTCGTCTGTCTTGACATTCTAGTGAAAACCGGTATTGAAATTAAGATTTTGTCACCCTAGACTGGCCGAGTCTAACTGTAGCGAACAACTTAGGTGTGGGGGAGTCACCCCCGTATAGATCTATACACAAACTCTCGCTCTCCCTCCGGGAGACTTTGATTATAACTACAGACTACGACCGACACTTATTGGTGTCGCCCGTTATTACTCACTAAATCCAATGAAATTGAATAACCTTGTTTAACAACCTGATTTATGTTTACTTGAATAAAAGGGGTAAGCCTAACAGACGAAGAGAAGAGGACTATTGGGCCCACTAATCGCGTTGTTATTATAGGTTGTCGAGTATGCAACGGACACGTTAGCTCGTCACACATTATGATTGATTTGGACCTTACTAGCAATGCAAATGGGCCACTACGACCTAATAGCATGTAAAAGCCATTGAGAGTCCATTAGGCATGTAAATGGGTCACCTGAGGCCCAATAAACATGTATAATTATATTGGGCCCAATAATCATGATATTGGGCCACAGGGGCCCAATAGCACGAATAGAAGGTATTTGGGCCCAACCATTGAATCGCTTATGTTTTATCGAGTTTAAGTTCGTATTGATGGTATTTGTTGTATGCTAAATGTCTATTTGCAATGTTAAAGAAATATCTTAACACTTGATTTATAACGAAGCTTTTTCGTTATATAAATATAATTTTTAAAGTCATGCGTTATAAACTTGATATTTTTAACCCAAACATTCGTATTTGTTTATTTGGCCCAAAGATATTTAGATTGACCATTTTTGGCCCCTTTTTTCTTTAAAGATGGCACTTTTAGTCCCTTTTTATGAAAATTGACATTTTTGGTCCTTAAACCATTTTTCTTGACATTTTCCACCCAAACTTTATTTGAATAGAAATTTTAGCCCAAAACTATTGCATTTGTCATTTACAACCTTTATTTGTAAAAAAGTTTGCATTTTTGGCCCAAATTCCGTAAGTTTTACAGTTTTGACCCCAAAATCAAAAACTTTGCATTTTTAGTCCAAATTTGGTGATAAACTCATTTTTAACCCCTGAAAAAGTTTATTTACATTTTAGACCCATAGTTTGTTAAATTTTCCAGTTCAGCCCCTCAAAACCTCATTTTTTTCGCAACCTTGGGCCCAAAACCCATTAGGCCCAATTTTAAGCCCATTAAGCTAAAATTTATGTTTTTGACCCTTTGAAAAGTGTTATTTTCATAGAAATCAGCTTTTATACAAATAAACAACCTATAACCCTCATAAAACCGACAATTTACAAATTATACCCAATCTTTGTTATTTTTGCAAAAATGACACTTGTAAGTTTCTTTTGGTTTTGTTTTTCACTTTTTAAACTTAAGGACCCTTAGATCTATGATGCATGTTGTTTATTATATTTTTGTTTATGATTCTTTCACCCTTTTTGCTTTAGATATCAAAATATAACAAATATTACATATTATCACAACCAAAAACTAAAGAAATCACACATAGCATGCAAGCACACATAATCTCACCTTGCTTAGTTGTTTCGGTTTTGAAGAAGATGTGAAGAAGATTTTTGGTCTTAGCAAGCCTCCTTGAGTTGATTTCGAACTTAAGAAGCTTCTAAGGTGTTCATGGAGTAAAGTTTTGTAAGAAAGAATTTTAGATGTTTTAATGGAAGAAGATGTTTATGTTTGATAGAACTTACCAAAGATTGACAACACTTGATGAAGATCCTTGAATCCAAGCTAAATTTTCGAGATTTCTTTGAAGGAAGAAGGAAGATGATCTTTGAGAGTAATGGAGAGAGTTTGTATAATGTGTGTGTGTGTGTTCCTTCCTTCGGCCGTAGATAATAAGAGAGAGGGGAGAGGAGAGAAAAGATTGAAGTGACAAATGTGGATGTATGTTGGACCATGCATGTTTATTTGGTGTATAATAAGAAGGTGACACATAAAAGTCAACCCTTCTTATTCTCTTTTTTTTTATTTGGGCCGAGAGGGAGAGGGAAGAGAAAGGAGTTGAGCCTTTAGTGCTTGAGTTCCATAATGTGAAGCCCAAATTGATGGTTTTTGGCCCATTGAGCCCTTAAGAGGGTTTACGGCCCAATTTGCATAAAAGAATGAGTTTTATGGCCCATTAGGGCTTATTGGGTTTGTTATGGCCCAATAAGGCCCATTAAGGTAAACCAATTCATTTTGGATTCATTATGGCCCAAAAATGTTAATTTTTATGAAAGTGGGTCCAATTAGAGCCCATTTAAGGGTCCTAAGCCCAAAATAGTCAAATTGGAAGCTTATTGGTCTATTAGGCCCAATAAGGAAATCCTAGTCCATAATGGACTTAAACCAGGATTTTTAGGGTTTCCAATCTTTTGTTGACTATTTGAAGTGTTTGTATAGAGTGTTTGATGGAATTTTGTTGTTATTGAATAAACATCGTGTTTTCAAGTCATGGTTACAATTATTGATAATGCTTACATAAGGATAGAACTTCCTAGCTAAATTTGCTAGTTGTGACAATATGAATTTGGTTGATCCTACAACAGACCTTAAAACCGTTGGGTGCAAATGGATCTTCAAGAAGAAGACCGACATGGGTGGGAATGTGCACACATTCAAAGCTAGTATGGTAGCAAAAGGATGATATACGTCTATTAGAATATTACTTGCCATAGTTTCTTTTTGTGATTATGAAATATGGCAAATGGATGTGAAGACCGATTTCCTTAACGGGAAATTTGACAGAGGATGTGTATATGACACAACTTGAAGGCTTCATTGATCCAAAATATCCTAATAGAGTGGGCAAGCTTGAGAGGTCCATTTATGGACTCAAATATGCATCACATAGCTGGAATCTTTGCTTTCATGAAAAAGTCAAGGAATTTGGATGTTCTAGATGCAATGATGAGTTTTGCATATATGTTAAAACTAGTGGGAATAATGTAGTCTTTCTAGTATTGTATGTCGATGATATACTCCTTATAGGAAACGATATTTCAACGTTGCATATTTCATAATCCAAGATTTGGTAACTTGAATAATATATTGGACGTTGCTAAAGTGATGTGGAAACGAAGATGCATCAGTTTCATTTGATCAATCGATAGTGAAGTTGCCGTTGGTTTTACCAGTTGCAACAACAATCGTGAAGAGATGTTTTTGTCCATGAAACTTGTGAAGTCGGACTTACGCACTTGGATTTTGGATGACTTTTTAAATGCTTGTCTAATTCGCTTCCAAATTATGAGACATAGAAACAATTTTCAAATGATAGTTTGCTTAAAGTTGTAATATTATTCTACTTTTTTCTAAATAAAATTATTATTTTTTATTATTTTATTATATTAATTATATAGTGAACCTCTTTGACATTTGGTCCGTCATATTCTTTTGAGAACCAAAAGACTTGCGAGAAATTGTGAACTTATAATCAGCTTATCATTTTTCAACATCAAAAACACAAATCTTCTCAAAATGGTGCGTCTAATCAATATCTAGGCTTAAAAAAAAGATTTGATGATTTTTTTTTTTTGGTTTTTTTGTATGACTGTTTTTTTTTTTTTTTTTTTTTGAAACGGAAAATACAGATACTATAATCTACTCCTAAACTAACACCTAATTACACCTATGTCCACCACGAGACTTGAACCCTCGACCTCAAGGAGAGAGAGCACCACCTGATACCGCTGATGAGCACAATCACCAGTCATACGGACTGTTGATTGTGCTCATCAACAATCCATATGACTGATGATTGTGCGTACATTCAAATTTCGAAAATAATATATATATATATATATATATATATATATATATATATATATATATATATATATATTAAATCTTTTTTTTAGCTTAGATATGACTTAAGCGTACCATTTTGAGAAGATTGATGTTTTTGTTTTTGAAAAATAATGATTATTATGAGTTCACAAGTTCATACGTTTTTTTTTTAATTATCACAATAAATGAGCCCGGATCCGAGAGTCAAAGTATCAAAATTACATGCATAAATAGTGAATAATTAATGTACACCGTACAAGATAGCAACTAGATTTTACGTTGGTTTATTCACTTTTATGGACAAAATCCCCCTGAATACGCTAGGGCAGACTTCTTGTCCACAGAAAAATACAACGAACGGTGGATTAAAACTTTACCCTTAATCCACCCTATCTTCAACAACTCTCGGAACATAATGCAATATTGTGCACTTATAAACAAGCTAGTCACATTTTTCTTCCAAAAAACACGGTAGACAAAATGACCACAAAGAAAGAAAAAGGACCAACACACTCAATGGTGTTTAGGATCAGGTCCTCCAGGGCTGACACGTGATGGTGTATACCCGCTTACCTGATCCTTAGCGTCTCTTACTTGGTACCCTAATCCCACCACTTTCTGCTCGAACATGGCTTTAAAGGGTGCAGTGAGGCTCTTCCGGTTCTCAAATGGCTCAACCAACGGTCGTGCATCTGTTTGTGATAACAACAGTAAGCTAACACACACCCAAAGCTTCCATCTACCCATTTTTGGAGGTGCTTGATAAATGATATCAGCTTCGACCTATTTATATGAAATTTGGTCATATGTGATTTCTTCTTAAGTAAGATGTGCTTGAAAAGCTCGAAAAGGAAAAAAAAACGTTAGTGACATAACATGTTTGAATAACAACGTTGGACCAGTAGATGTTCAAGTTCGTCAAACAAATGTCAATGGAATCTTAAAGAATATCGATGTGCATAATTTTAAAAGTTAGTCATCCAATACGACATTAAAGCATGGGTGGCAGTGTGGCACCAAGTGAAGGTCTACTCAGCGGCTTCTCCACTTGCAAGTATTGTAGGCGCTCGAAACAATGGCCTTCAATTCTACTCGTTGAAGAATTCGAAGGGTCAAGTGAGCCCACCCACTTAGTTAGGGTCGTTCTTTTGAAGTAATTTAATCATTAATTGTGATTCCCCCGATATTCAAAAGGTTCGTAATCACTTAAGATATGTTGCTGAGGTTTTGATTTGAATTTGGATCGAAAAGAGCCCGTCCAAAGCCCGCGTTGGATGTAATGAAAAGAGCTGTTGATTTAGCTGACTCCCGACGGCAAGTAGCTGGTTTTAATCTTGATAAAATGTAATCTCTTGGGTGGGTTTTGAATTAATGATGATAATGTTTATACAAAGAGGAAGCCTAAAATTATGAATATTGAATCCAATGTAATTTACAAGATAAGGATAAATACAATACAACATTTATTTATATCGACTAATAGTCCATGTAGTTGAACAGGTTACAGTCTTTAATCAAGTAGAATTTGTGGGAGATCTTTTGTAAATGAAGCGACTAACTGATATCGGGAAGACACATGTAAAACTGAACTTATCTAGCCATTTTTTCACGGACAAAGTGCATGTTCATGTCAATATATTTGATGCATTGATGTTTAATTGAACTTCCCATGTAAGGTAATTGACATTAACTTACAAACAATGATGGCTTTGGTGAGAGAGCAATGAATTTCATCAAGTAATAAATTTCTTAACCAAAAAGCTTTGGCTACAACATTTGCAACGACAAACGAATTAAGTGAAAACCTACTTGCACTTGGACAAATTCCCCCCTTTACATCATTGTTGCATAGCAAATTGGTAGACTTGGATTTTGTAAAGTGTAAATTGTAGGAGATAGATAGGCTGCAAACGAACCGAATGTTTGGCGAACCGTGCGTGAAATCTTCAGCGAGAAGTACGTTTATGTTTGTTTATTTAATAAATGAACGGACATGAACACAAATTCTCGTTCGTTTAGTTAAACGAATGAACATGAACAATGGTATCGTCCTTTCATTTATGTTCGTGAACGTTCGTTTATGTTGTTCGTTTGCGTTCGTTTAAGTTTATTTATGTCCATATATGTTCAAGTGTTTTTTATAACATTAATATATCATATGTTCGTTTATGTTCATATATCTTCAATTGTGTTTGTCTATCTTTGTTCGTTTAGCTTATTTTACGAACATAAACAAACAAACATGAAAATAGAATTTGTTAAACGAACGAAATTGAACAAGAAAACTTGTTAGTTTATTCGTCCGTTTGTTCAGCTAACTTAAACGAACGAACATGTAAATGCCCTTGTTTGCGTTCGTTCGGTTCATTTACAGCCCTAGGAACAGAGGCTTGTAAGTTGTAAATACCATTGGATCCATTTGAGTGCATTCATATAACACATTAACACACATAAGATTGTGCATATAAAGTCAAACATGAAAACATGTTGGATCGTATAACATTCTATAAATTATATAAATATTAATATACGCGATGCTAAGAAATAGTGCCAAGTATTAATTGAGTGGTTTGAGGTTTAACTGTTCCTATTCCGGTATTAGCTTTGGCTTGATGGTTTTTAGTTGGCTTGCCTCCTCCGTTCATTGACGTGTTGTTCTCCTGCCTATTACCTCCACTAGTTTTACTCCACTTATGTGAAGCCTGCCTATTTGCTTCACCGTCAATGTTTTTCACAAACAATTTTGTTCTTGCGATAGCCTCATGAAGAGGAAATCGATTCCAACCACCCCCCATGTATCCCAGGTTTGACTTCTATTCCTCTTTCTTTATTTGTTTGTTTTATAAACTCAAACCCTATTCTTTGTTCGTAAAAAGGAGAAGTGACGCCGAGATGGAACTGGATTCAAAGCAGGAAAGAGAATTAAATGTGTAGGAATTAAATAAACCAATTATTGTAATATATGTTGATGTTTTTCCCTCCCACGCACGTGTTCTTGCTCATTCTCTTTCATTCAATCTAATTGAATGTTTGTCTTGTGTTGTTTTAATTTTCTTGATGAATTTGTGATTTGACGATTGGCATTTCCTTTTTTGTATATATGCTAATGTTTTATTGGTTGATGCGATTTTGTGTTACAGTTGGAATAAACACAATGGAATTGGTAAGCAGTTTCTTATTCTTTGAAGTTATTGTGATAAAGAAGAAAACATGAATTACTTTTTTTTTGTCTGTTTCTAGGTTACCTCGCATAGGAGCAGAAAATTGAGAAATTAACATCTTGGTGATGAGATAGACACACCAATACTAAAATTCCAAAAGGTTAGCTGAAAATTTCAAGGGTAAGCAACTAAGATGTAATTTGTATACCATGTTCTTCAATTTCCTTCTTTTTGGGTGCCATATCTAACAAAGTGGTCAAATCAAATTTCACTATCTTTAGGTGTTGGATTGAGTATGTAGAGCTTTAATCCATTAGATTTTCAGGGGAACAATGTGGCTTTTTTTTTTGGTTTCTGCGATTTTGCAGTGGATACATTATGTTACATTGTGTTTGGGGGTTTATAGATATGTAGAGTATTGGAAGCTTGATTATGAAGCTATAGATCAGTCGAATGTTAATCATTTTAACCTAATTTATTTATCAGGAATCGCGCTAAAAACATCATCAATTATCATGGAGATGTAAGCTATAGATGTCATTTTATGCATATTTTAGGGAAGGTTTTATTAGTATTTGTTAGGAATAAATTCCTTAAAGATCAATGAGATTCAGAACAAGTAAAGTAAGAACACAACGATGATTCAAAGGTGTTAAATGATTAACAGTCACACCTCAAAAGAGCTCTATGAAGAATTGCTACTATAGAGGCGTGATTAGGGTTACAAAATAAAAGATGAGAGTTCACTAAAATACGATGCATGCAAGCATCTTAAATACTTTAACCCTATTAAATAAGGTGGACAGGCCCAACCGTTTACATAAAAGACTTTAATAAAAGCCCAATGACGCAACACATCCCAACAATCTCCCCCTTTGCGTCAATTGAGGCGAGAGTCCTTCAGTTCTGAATCCGCTTTTTCACTTCAAAAACTTTAGGAATAACATTCAATAGTACCCTGTGAACCTGGATATACCAACTGATCATATCCGAAAAGCACTTCTTGTCACCAGCACTGTTGCCTCTGAACTTATTGGTCATACTCAAAACATGCTCGAGACAAGATGTAGAGTACAAGTGTTTATCCTCCAGGAAGAAGCACACCTTGTGATATTCAGAGTGATTTCGTTCACGTGCCTGGAACACCATGTACCAACCTTCCTTGTAGATCTTCCCCAGTTTCAGCTTTTCAAGATCTTCAGGAGCTTGTTTGGGAACAACTGAAGGCTTCCTTCGCAGAATAGCAGCAATCTCAACATCCATTGTACCCACTTCTTGAATGTAAGAGATGATCATCAGTTTAAGATGGATGATCACAGGTTCATACTTTTGCTCTTCACGAATAAGCAGACTGTAGAGCATAATCCAATCATATGGATTGATACACGGCAGATCTGCGAGAGTGAACTCATAAACTTGGCTTATAGAACCTCTGACAACTTTGAATTTGGCGTTTGGGAAGCTGTCAGTCTCGATAGGTCCAGTAACCTTTACCGCCGTGATCTTGCTCGCACTTCAGGTCTCGTACTGAGGCTTCATATATTTGAGGTGGAATACGAATAGAAGTTGATCAGCTCCATTGTCAGTTAAGGGAACGTTCACAAGTTTGATGAAAGAGCGAAACTTGAAAGCTTTCGGAGTCATTGGTAGATCAAGTTGTGAGTCCTGACTGTTTTGAAGTTCAAAGGACACAACAGGCTCTAACCAATATTGGCTTGGAATGTCAACAACTTTGTATTGAAGACGCTTCAGAGTCCACGCAGGGAACAAAAGCTTTTTGCTCTCAAGTGTGACCTGAGCTTCTTTTTCAGCCTTCTCCTTGGCTTCAACTTCGCGAATGATACGTTGATGTTCGTCCATCTCCGCTTCGCGAGCCTTTCGCCTTTTCAATTCTGCTTCATCAAGCTCTTCCTCTTCTTCGTTGTAAATGATGAGATCATCAGAGAAAAGTTTCTCTTTACCCTTTGGCTCCGTTTCGCTTTTGACAACAGGCACAAGCTTGACCTACAGTTGGTTTTGGTTTCGCAACAGTTGGCTTTGTTGTTGGCTTTGTTGTTGTTGACTTTGGCTTATCTCCCCCTTGTTTTGGAATGCTGAAGGATTCCGAAACACCTTCCAAACGATGAAGAATAGCGAACGTAGTTCACAGCTTTTCTCCCAGATGTTTTCGCACATTGAGGGGAATCATCAGGTCCCTGGCTTCAATAAGATCTGAGAGCAAGGCAGTGACATCAGAGATGCAACTGTTCATAACCGCCTTCTCTGATAATAGATCTTGGACCTGTTTCTCCGATTGTTCGAGCTTCAAAGAGAGTGTCTTTACTTTCTCAGTCTTCACAGCGAGTGCATCCATTATTTTGCTTTCCATTGCTAGATCATCTTGAAGCTTGGAGAGTTGAGATGAAATGGAAGACTGGAACTTCTCGTGGTCACCTTTAAGACCATTAAGAATGTCTTGAAATTTTGCTCGCTCAGACTTGAGAGCAGTGCTCAAGCTAGAAATGACTTCGTTTGCTGCAACTGTGTTGGACTCAAATGACTGTTGAAATTCGTCCATGAACACCTGAGCATCAGAGATTAGTTTATCGACTTTTTCGGTCGTTTGGCTGCACACCTTTGTAGATCCATCCACAACAGTAGTCATCTTTTCAAGATTGGATGAATGTTCCTTGGTGAGAGTCTCAAGGATGGACTTGACAGAGGCTTGAGAGTAGTCGCCATAAGGCTTAGAAGCTTGAAGCAGCGAATCAAGCTTGTCATGAATGGCTTGGAGTTGCCCCTTCGTCACAGGAGCATCATCATCAACCTCAGTCCGGATGGTGAAGGGACTGAAAGTAAAGCCCTGGAAATCATCCTCACCATCCCCATAAATCATGTATGGGTCATCAATGCGACAAGGGGAAATAGGTGGAGAAACATGAGTGGTGGTGAAACCTGATACTCCAGCCCCTGCATCAGATGTGTTGACCGAAACAGCAGGTTTGGCTGATGTAGTTGGTGGTGGTGTGGATTCAGTGAATATTGGAACAGACAAAGGAATGGTAGCCTGTAGTTGAGTAGAGATAGGTGGAGGGCATGGTGCAATGGTAATTTGGACAGTAGTGGTTGTAGATGAAGGATGAGGAGAAGGAACAGACTCGTTGAGAATTGAAGTTACCTCAGGAGTTGATTTCTGACCTTCGTTGCAAATGGTATCATCGTCGTTGCGAACATCTTCATGGTGAACCTCCTCATTGTGAACCTCTTCGATGTGAACTTCCTCATTGTGATCCTCCTCGTTGAGAATGTCAGACTGAGTATCAGACTCTGAATCTTCGCTTTCACTTGGAGTGGGAGTCCCGCGCTTACGAGCTGGATGCTTTCTCCTTTTGGGAGCAGCAATAGAGGTTGTTGTTTTTTCCTTTCGTTTAGAAGGAGGTTTCGCTGCTGCAGAAGGCCCTTCCTTGTCAGTGGATTTCTTCTCTCCCTTCTTGGAACCTTTTTGCCCCCCCCCCCTTTTGGGTTTATCAGCCTCACCAAGGATAGCTTGCATTTCATCTGTCAACTCGCGAGGCCCAGATGGAGTTAACTTCCTGTACCCTTCCAAAATTTTGCTTGACGGAGGTACATCTCTGAACATAGCTTCTAGGATTGACCCAATAAACGATAACTTGGAAGAATCAGAAACGATTATCCCAGTAGTGTAAAAAGTAGCGATAGAAGCCATCAAAGTGTTTTGCATCACCGGGATCTTGAGCTTTTCAATAAAGCGGTGGACTATGAGAGTCCAAAAACGTGCACAGGAGATTTCACTGTGACGTGTGGTGGAGAGAGTGCTCTGAACAACTTAAGCCCATAGAACAGAGCCATCGTCGATGTTCGAACCTATGTAGAGACCATAGAGAATGGCCATGAAAAGCTTGCTAGCACAGTCCGATCCTGTCACCCTTTTTAGAGAACCCCTTAAAGAGTAGGGTGAAGAGTCCATTCCACTGTGGAGGTAAATTGGGTTTTCTGAATTTTGAGACGGCGGTTAGGGTTTCTTTGTGACCCATTTGATAGAACACCTCAAGAAGAGCTGCACTTGTCACCGACTATGGGTTGATCATGTCATCCGATTGGGGAATCTGAAGGAGAGAACAAAATCGAGATTTTGTGATTGAGGTTTTGCGATCGTGGATCTCGAACGTGATCCTTTGTTATTGCTTGATGTATTTGCTGATGAGTAAGCCCTGGACAGGAGAGAGAGAGAGAGAGAGAGAGAGAGAGAGAGAGAGAGAGAGAGGAACGTTCTCCATTCGAGAAAGAGCAATCGTGAGAGGAGAATACTTGAGACATTCGATCATAGGGAGCATGAAGTTGTCATACTTGACTGGATCGAGATCAATCACTAGGTTTTGATGTTGTTTGACAGCCAGAAGAGAAGAATGTGCTGTTTGATCTTAAGCGGAGAAGTTTTCAGATGAACCCGCCATTGATGAAGCTTTGAGGAAGACGATGAACAGTAGAGAGATTTTTGAATCGCCGGAAATTTTGAGAGAGCTTTGTGAGTGGTAATGAGAGATGATGCGTCGAAAATAATTTATACCATTTGATTGGAGCAAAAAATCCGAAGAGAGATAATCCTCGATTACTGAAACGTCGCCTTGAAAAGC